AGTTACAGGGGCATAGACGCTGAGTGTCAGCAGATGGTGCAGAATTTTGGACAATTGTGAGCAATTCTCAATGAGAATCAGATTTCCATGTATAGATCACGTTTTGAGGGACTACTGCCTGCATACAGCAGTCTTGACACTTTCTTTGTTCCAGAAGTGAGAGGCTTTCTTCCAGATATATTTCCCATTTTTTCTGTTTAGTGGTAGGATAGATCTGTGACAAGTGGATCTGTTCTTGCATTTATTTGGGTGGTCTTTGAATCACCTTAAAAAGACAATAAGCATACAACAGTAATTCATAGCCAAGGTATTTTCTGCAGGAAAAGCTTCATTGCTGTCAATTCAGCTTGTCTCTTTTCCTTGTGACACCTTTTAAAAACAACTGCTGTGGGCGATGAGTTCTTTCTGTTTGATGAGCACACATGGTTAAAATGTCTGTTTTCTAAAGGGCATGTGAAAGAGAGTTTTTCACTTACTGTCTTTCTAAAGTGATGCTGTCTGTTTCCAGATATGTGACATCTTATGCTTCTATGTCTTTTGTTTCTTTCTTGAGAAAACTAACAAGACTGTCAATTAGAAGTTGTTAGCAATGACGCTTCTCATGTCATAACATAACTTCTCATGCCACATATGTGCACTTTCTGGTTTATGCAGAGTTCACTTGGTGTTTAGTGATCTGGTCAAGCCTAGATATAGTTATTACAACTGAAATGCCTTTTATAGAGACATAATGTCAGAACTAACTTTCTTACTTACTTACTTACTTCTTTACTTGAACTTCATGTAACCATTTTGATGCCCCTTCACTTTCATTGGTGTATATAAAATTATGTTAAAGGTACATGTAACATACAGAGGGAACCTCACCGGGAGGGGGGGATTAGCTAGGGAGGACCAGGAAAAAGATGGTCAAAAGAACTTGATATTAACCACCCACTACAGTTCCTCCTTCCTGAAACTGCTTTTCCATAAACAACAAGATGGAGATTGTTAAGTGAAAGAGCTGAAGAATGGGTTCTGTTCTTGAAAACTGAATTTTAGTTTCAAAAATCAATATCAGTCCTTAAACAGATGGTGTAAGGTTTTATTTGCATCTATAGCTTAAATCCAGTAGGTAGTCCTAATTAGATTATTCATTGGCCTGATCCTGTCACAAAATACAGTGGGGTCTTGACTTGAGAACTTCATCCGTATTGGAAGGTGGTTCTCAAGTCAAAAAGTTCTCAGGTCAAATCTGCATTTCCCATAGGAATGCATTGAAAACCATTTGATCCGTATCTGCTCTTTTCCGTCCGTAGAAACTAATGAGAAGCTGCTATTCCGCCTTTGATCACTAGAGGGGGATCTTTTATTTCTTTTTTTCTTAGGTCAAGAAAGGTTCAGGGAAGGCAGGGAAAATACAGTCCAGGCAGTACAGTACCAGGCAGTCCGAAGGCTGTCTCCCAATCCACTCTCTAAACGCTGGGAGGAGTGAGGAAGCAGACAGGCACCCTTTTCACTGGCCAACAGTTAACTGAAAGTTCACATTTTGCACTTTCCCTGTCTCCCACGTGGGTTTTTTCAGTTCTTAACTCAAATCTAAGTATGTAAGTCAAGTCAATATTTTCCTATGAGAGTGGTTCTTAAGTCAAAATGTTCTTAACTCAAGCCGTTCTTAAGTCAAGACCCCACTGTACCGCATACTAATCATGTAAGCGCTTTTCATATTTTGCAAGCAAGCTGTCCTGTGACTAACTCTACAACCTGGGCATGTCTGAACAACACAATCGACAGCTGGAAAGATAACACATACAACTTATGTAATTTCTTCTTTCAGCTGCATGGCACCAACAGGATTCTAGGTATTGAATCAATGGGAAATTGGTGCAACAACACATGTCAATTCCATTGATGGATTTAGACTAAAGATGGGTATGATTCTTGGTTTGGAGGCTCATGTGGGTCCATCGGCATGACACAACTAGTGCCTTACATTCCCTTCCCCCTCTCATGAGCTGGTGTGCACTGCTCTTCTCCTGTTCTTTGTGTGATTGTCCAATTGGAGCAAGAGCTTGTGTTTTCCTCCTCTGCCTCCCCCAGCAGCCACCCACTCAGACAAGGAGGCATGGCAGAGATCCCTGCCTTTAAGTGAGCAGCTGCCAAAGGAGGCAGAGGAGGGAAGCACAAGCTCTTGCTGCAACTGGACAATCATGCAAAGAGCAGGAGAAGAGCAGCTGGTGAGTAGAGCCAATCAGGGGTGGGCATGGGGGAAAGGAACACATGGCACCTGTGGTGCCATACCGATGAACCAGCACAAACCTCCGAACTGAGGTTTGTGCCCATCTCAAATTTAGACCATTGTATTTCAACCTCAGGCAACAAATCAGCCTTGACCCATTTTCTTTAATATTCAAAGAGCAAAAGATTTTTTTATTATCCAGTGTTTAATTCAGAAACTGGGAAGTGCTATGCCTTGGGCATTCTTAGTCTTTCCTGCTAATTCTAGATATGCTGAAGGTGGTTGTATTAGAAATGTACTACATACATATGGGCCCTTTTTCTACTCCAAATCCTAGTATAACAATCATTTTCTACAATCACATAAACTGGATCAAACTAAGCCCTGCCACTGCCACACTGATACTATTCAAGATGTGATAACTTGAAATGGTTTGTGTATTTATTGCCTTATTTGCCTACCAAGAAGATGTTAACCCACCAAAAAACCCTAAACAATCCCACCACCACCCTTTTGATCTTCTAGATGTTTTTACAACAGCCAGCAGCACCTCCAAGTTTTAGCAATCTGCTGCAGACAGGAACTCAGGGGAAGTCAGTGGATGGTTTGCAGCAGCAACAGCAACAAGAAGTTGTTTCAAGACCTCACCTTCAAGGGCAAGTTGTACCTTCTCAGGCAGCAGACCGTCAACTGTTAAGAGAAGAGAATGTCCTATCTAGCCAGGTCAGCACCTAGAAATGTGAAGCTTCCATATAGAGAAATTATTGGGGAAACAAAATATGCAGATATTGTTTAATTGATTAAAAGATAATTGTAAAAGCAGATTTGCCTACCCCTCGGGCTGCAACTACACTGTTGGGAAAATATGGGTTGAATCTGCAGTGACTCCTGTCGTATTTCACAATATCAAGTCCTACTGCAGTTTAACACAGTCCCCGATCTGGTTCTTTTCTGCTCTGTCTTTTAAAGATACGCTGCAGTTTGGGGCAATACTGGACCTCCCCTGTTTTCCTGCCAGTTGTCTGTCAGCCCCTTAACTGTCTCCCTTGCTTATGCATGTTTTCAAGGTTATCTTTAACTTATTAAAGGTGAGTACTTAAGATAAAGCAGAAGGAGCCCCATGCTATTTGGGAGGCACTTTGTACAACCTCCAGGGAGTTCAAGATCCAAAGCTGTGTTCACCTCTATCCACCTCCCCCGCCATTCATGACCCCCCTCACTCTCCTTCCACTGCTGTTTTTTCTTTCTTCTTTCCTCTCTTGCATCTTTGTTTACATCTGTGGATGTGTGATTTATTTTTTGAAACCTATAATTAAATTGTACATCCAAAGATGTACATTAAATCCTTTTAAAAAAATATATAAAAGAGGGGTGTGAGAGAGGGACATAACATTCCCATCATGTAATGTTGTGCCCCTATCCCCAACATGCTGACGGCAGCAGTGTGCATGCTGGCTCACACCGGATTAAACATGGCCATGTGTTACAAGCAGTCTTGCACCTGTTTGCAGCTCACTTGCAGTATATACCATTTTCTCCACATATTTGTGAAGGAGCAGTTCCAGTCTTAGTTTTTGACCAAACAGTTCTTAAACCAATTTCAGCACTTTTATTTGTTTAATAAGTTCGGTTGCATGCTTTTGACATTACTATCAGAACAGAAGAAGGTAGATCACTGAACTAAGATTTTAGTGGCTGAAAACCTTTTGATGCAACTAGGATGCTATCATCAGTCCATGATGGTAGTACCAAATTGAACTGAAACTTCCTATTCCTCTCCTCTTCGAGTTTTGAAGCTCCTTTCAACCTGAGGGAACCTTTGGGAGCCGTAGTACTGGGAGCATGGCTGCCGAGATCTGGAATGCTTTTGCCGATCTGGCAGCAATTGCTGGCCGTTAAAGGCTGAAAACCTGTAGCTTAGTGTAGCAAGTTGCACAAGTGTTCATTGAGTCAGCAGGGATTTAGTGTGTCAACCTCTTCAATAATTTCCATTAATTCAAATGGACCTGTTCTAACTGCGACTTGCTATGCTAAAGCATGTTGCAGGTAGAGAAGGACCATTTGAATCAATGGAACTTATGGAAGAGTTGACTCACAAAATACCCACTGATTTGGTGGACCTCCTATAATGCAATTTACTATGCTAAGCAACAGGATTTGAGTAAATGTTCTCTTAGAAGTGTCTTTCTTCCCATTACAGTGGTGCTTTGCTTGACGAGGATAATCTGTTCCAGCGAAATTTGTGTAGAACAAAATAGTCGTCAAGCAAAAGTAAAAAGCCCATTGAAATGCATTGAAAACGGCTCATTGCATTCCAATGGGCGAAATACCTCAGCGTCCAGCGAAGTTCCTCCATAGGGCGGCCTTTTTCTGGTGCCTGTAATGCGAGGAATCCGTCCTAAGCACAGCAGGGAGCTATTTTGAAACCCGACGATCAGCTGTTTTCTGATTGTCGTAAAGCAAAAAACCAGTTCCTGAAGCAGGGAACCGATCATCATGAAGCAGTTTCCCCCCATTCAATCATCATTTTGCGATCGCAATAGCGATCGCAAAAAACACATTGTGAAGCAATTTCATCATTAAATGGGGTAATCATTAAGCGGGGCACCACAGTATAATAATATTGTATGCAGGGAGATCTTTTGATCAGGACGAAAAGGCTCTCATTAGGCAGAGATGGCTATTCTTACATTTTGTGGAGAGATGTCCACCAGCTGTGGTCACAAGCCACTCTTGTCACAAGGTGACTGACTGCATTCCTACAAATTACTTAGGCACAATTCTCTTCCCACCAGAACACTAGAAGATAATGTCTTAGAATTTTAATGTCTATACGTGCACATTCAAAGGCTTCATATACAGCACCTCAGTAATCCTTCCAATCATCCTGTACGTTAGGTCAAAGTTGCTGTTCCCCCATTACAGATGCAACAGAACAGAGGTTTGGATGGTTACCCAGTGTGTCAATGGCTGAGATTAGGTCTGAAGGAGGACTTCCCAGCTCATACCTTTAACTACTGTGCCACACCAGCATAATGAGACAGAAGGAAAAACAATACATACTGCTGAGGGAGGTACATCTTCTGGAAAGATGTCCTGATTAGCAAATGTGCTGATGAGAGCTATCTGAGTCAAGCATCCTACATGTTTAATAAAAAGCAATGGAACAATTGTCCTGGCAGGTAGATAGAAAAAGTGACTCCAAAATAAGTCATAAACCTCCAGTCTGTGACATATGGACACACCCCACTTACAATTACTGTACATTGGATCATAAGGACAATCCAATGGAATTGTTTGTTTCCATAAAACAGCTATAAAGAACACTTTGGGGCAAATAGTATCCTATGTAATAATGCTTAACTCTTATCGCAACGATTGCAGTCTATGATTCAGTTGAAATTCTGTCTTTTGGATGTCATGTCCTTTCATTCTTTCCAACAAGTTTTATGTGGATTTATGTTTTTGCTTTACTTGTCCAACCCACCACTCTAGAAAAACAAACCAGTCCCCAGAGTCTTACCATTCTATGCTTTTAGGAAATAATCCTTATCTTAAAATCTAATAGGAACATTTCTTAAAACTATCCCCTAAGAAAAGATAGGATAACTAAATACAGTATGGGTCTAGTAATTTTGTGAAAACTTTCAACTCCCCCCCTTCTGTTATACTTGTGCAATAAACACAAAATGTTTTATTTGTTGTAGGACAAGAACTCAGCGAGAACTTCTCAAGGGATGCAGGAGGGTTGTCATTCTTCCAGCAGTTTACAATTAAGCAACACCTCTGTCCTCCCACAGTCTTTGAGTATAGCTCCATCTCCTGCCATTCTACAGGATAGCAACCACCAGCATAATACTCCAGATTTTGGTCATGACCGGCAGTTGAGGTAAAAGAATTATAATGAATTGGTGGGATATGTGTGGGCATTTAGAAAAATCTAGAAGCAATTGTTATTCAAATATGAACAATGAATTGTTGTGATTACTAGATGTCGAAAGGTGTGTCAAGGTTACATTGCCTCTAAAGTGAGGTGGGTAACAGACAACCTGTGAGCCACACTCAGGCTCCTGGGACCCAAATGCAGCCTCCCATCATCCTTGGACCCTTTGAGCCAATCCTACAAGCCTCCTCCCCAATTTAATTTTTTCAAACCTTTTCTTCTGCTCAGAAAATCTCATTGTGCCACTCAAGGGCATTGACAGCAGCCCCCCAGCACCCTTGGGTCTCCCACACCATTAAAAAAAAACAAATTAAAAACAATGTTGGCCACTAAATGACACAAGGGGCTTCCTTGGTTTGAAACTGCTCTCCCCCCAGCAACAACCCATTTCTGTTAGAAAACACTTATTCAGGATGGGGGAATCGTGGGAATGGTACGGTCCTCTAAGGTCCAGGGATGAGAATTCCAGACCTCTGGAAATTTCTCATTCCTGGTCATTGCTCTCTGGGTTTAAGGTTGGTGCTTACCTCTGAATCCCTAAACAGCTTGTGACCCAAAAAATACATACCTCTCTCTGTCTGTCATTTCCTTAAGACCTGCAGGAGAAGATCTTCAGGTAACTTTGCTGTTATGTACCATCAAGTTGCTTCCAACTAACAGCAACTTTAATAGGTTTTTTAAGTTATATAAGAAAACCAGATAAGGCTTGGTTTTACCATTGCCACCTCCATGGCTGAGCAGAAATTTGAATCCAGATCTTCTGAGTCCTAGTCTGACACTCCATCCACTGAACCACACTCTCAGGGGAACTAGAGGAAGCACCTTCTCTGTTGTGGTGCCCAATTTCTGGAAGATTGCCCATGACTGATGCCACTTGCAAAAATTTTGATGTTGCATCATAACTTTTCCATTTACTTGAGAATTTGAATCTGGTCTGTTTATTTTATTATATCTTTTGTATCTTTGAAAGCTATTTTATTATTGCATTGTATTACTTTTTGCATTCTTCAGTTACACACCTTCTTATATTTATTGATTACACCTTTGATTCCTACAGATGAGAAAAGGTTTACAAATATCCAAATTATCATTTTTTTAAAAGGTAGACTTAAAGGGCTGAATTTAGACTAGGAAGCTGTTGAACTGAAGCTAGTCGTTAACTCACTTTTCAGTTATTTTAGTGGGTCTGCTTTAAATATAATGAAGTCTGCATTCAACTCTTAGGACTTTTTACAGCCGAGTATTGTAGCAGGCACTTTGCTACCAAAAGCTTCAGTGACGTGTATCTGCTAAGTCAAGAACAACTTTCTTTTTATAAGAATGTGTAGGCTTTTTTGATAATAGGACTGGAAATTCCTTTGTTCAAGAACTACTTAAACTTTCCTTCTGAGTCCAGTCCATGTTCAAGCCTCTTTCTTCTATGCTTACAACTACATAATGCAGAATAATTCTTCCATTTTTAAAATTGATTTAATTACATGAAGTCAAGTTGACTTCAACTTGTGGCAATCCCAGGGTTTTTTTTTTTAAAGGTATAGAGTACTAAGAAGTGTTTTACCATTCCCTTCTTCTGGGGACATTCTGGGACTGTGAAGTTTGCCCCAAGGCTAAACAGGCTGGTTTTTCACTAAGGAAACACAATGGAGAATCACTCCCATCTTCTGGCTACACAGCCAGATACCTAAATCAATGACCTTCCCTTTTTAGAGTATTCAGATTAGCCGGCCTTCATCAACATTAACCTGACATCCTTTAATTTCTTGTTTTCTAGGCTTTTACTCAGTCAGCCTATTCAACCAATGATGCCTGGATCTTGCCATGCAAGACAATCATCAGAAGTTGATGCAACTGGACACCAGGCAAAGTATGTAATATATCATTGTATGTAATAGATGTTGAAGCTATACTATGAAGTGTCTCTTAGAGCTGAATCAATTGGGATCGCTTGTGGTCTGCTTGCTTCTCCTCCATTGCTTGTGTATTCAGTTTCTTTCAAGCCATTTAGCTGAACACATTCTAAGACTAGGATAACCAATGAGGTCTGGTTTTTGATAAAGGAAAGACTTGTGTTTAATAATGATGCTTGAAACATAGTCCTGAACAAAGGGTACAGAGTCTGCAGCCCTGAGGTCACATAGAGCATTCAGTTACTCCCTGTGCAGTCCCTAAAATCATTGGGATCCTATGACTTCAGAGGAGATTGCTAGAGGGATATAAGGTTACTGATGCTGGGGGAGGTCTTTGTGCAGAAGAATAAAATATGAGTATTTATGCAAGTTGTATATTTTCCTACTCCTGGACCTGTGGTTCACAACCTTGGCTTCCCAGATGTTCTTGAACTACAACTCTCAGAAATCCTGGCCAGCATGGCTGGTGGTGAATAGAGATGGGGGAATCATCTTTGTCTAAAAAAATGAATCTTGCCGGGACAGCTGGCCAACTTGATTAACTCCCGCCCCAGTACCCTCTAGTCCGCATACTGTGCAGTGCATGTGGCTGTCATTATCTGCATGCCAATCACGGTAGTAACCAGCTGCCAGAGACCGAGCTCCCTGCTTGCCCGGCTGCTCTGGCAAGGGGGTGGGATGAGAAGTCTCCCCACTCAGCCATGGAGTGGCCAGGCGAACAAGGAGGCGGGGCTGGGCTACTGCTGTGATTGGTGTGCTGACAATGACGCTGGCCAGAAGTGCTCTGCACTGCACTGTAAGTGAACCTGTGGGTTCTGGGGGCGGGAGTTAACTGGGCCAGTGACCTATGCTGATGGGATTCATCTTCATAGGTGAAGATGAATCTGCAGTTTCTAGTAGTGAAGGTTTCTGGAAGTTCTAGTCCAAGAACATCTGGAGACCCAGGGTTGAGAACCACTGGTCTAGGCCAGTGGTTCTTAACCTTTGTTACTCGGATGCTTTTGAACTGCAACTCCCAGAAACCCCAGTCAGGACAGCTGGTGGTGAAGGCTTCTGGGAGCTGCAGTCCAAAACTCCTGAGTAACCCAAGGTTAAGAACCAGTGGCCTAGGCAAACTGGCCACAGGGCCAAAGTCTATGCAGGGCAAGGCATTTTACAGCACTAGGCAGAGATCTAACAAACAGAATCCTACTAGCAAGTTCATTAAGAGGGAGGGATTTTCATGGGAGGGGGAAAGACCAAAGCCAAAACAGTTTAAAAACGTTTTACATGAACAGTGAAAAAATATTACACTAGGCCCGTAATATCAAGGCTGGGAGAAGGCCCAGACTTCTCCTTAGGCCCAAGCTCACAACCACCTTATTCTGAGAGTTTAGCTTCCTGAGCCTCGGGGGTGTTTAGAGTCCATAGGACTTAGCATCTTTCTCAGATTTAGAGGATTCCAACTTACCCTCAGTGGAGGACTCATCCAGAAGGGCCAGATTCATAGGTATATGTGCATAAATTACTTACTGTAAGTACATAAATCCTGAGTCAACAGGTCCCACTGTTTTTCTTTCTCTTGTCTAGAGTGGACTGTGCTGCAACTTCAGTGTTTATTCACAAGGCCTTGGCTGAAAGAAGTTATGACTGTTCTTTCGACAGGTATTCTCAAAGCCTACAAGCATTCGAAAGTTTGGAAGTGCAGTCATCTGGCACTAGTACTCCTATTGTGCTGATGGGACAAGCGGTATTACACCCCAGATTCCTGGCAGCCCAGCCTTCCTCTCAGGCTTCATCTTTGCAACCTATGCATCAACAGCAATGCTATCTTGAGGTGAGCTAGAACAGAACTAAAATATCTCACAAGTAAGCTGCCCTGAGTATGTTTCAGCTGAAAGCAGCATATAAAACTTCAAAGAGGAAGAAATGAAATCAAGGAAATACCCTGGAAGTCCTGTCAAAAGGAAAGTAGATCTATTTCGTTATTTTAAAAAAACCCAGAATCAGTGGACAGAGTCTTGTTTAGCACAGTAAATTGCACTGGAGTAGGCCCATTTAATCAATGGAGATGGGATAAGTCACTTCCTGGATAAATGTCATTGATTTAAATGGGCCTACTCTCAACTGTAACTTACTACAGTACGGTAAATTACAGTCAAATGTAAGCCCATTTGAATCAATCGAAATGATGGAGGAGTTGACTCACTAAATCCCCCTTGAGTCATTTGGCCTACTTTAGTGTGATTTCCTACATTAAGCAACAGGATTTTGGCCATGTGTGGTACAGCATGGATAGAGCTCCTGCCAAAGCCAGGCAAGGCAGTACTTGGGTTTTTTGGGCCACATATTTGGTTATAAATTATGTCTTGCGCCGGGCAGATGCCTCTTGTATCAGACTCAGAAAATCTCCATTAACACATTGTACATTAAGCTGCAAGGCATGGACATGTTCCATGAATAACACCCTCCTGCCTTCCCCTCCTGTCACTGAGGGTAAATGGCTGCTGATTCTCCACAAAGGGGTGTGTTGGCTGAAAGACTCAGTACAGTCTCTGCTCTCTCCATATGCTTCCAAAAGTATACATTTATTTTTGTAATCATGAGGAGGTCTACACTGACTTTTTAAAAAGTTCTTTTTAAATCATTCATAGCTGGAATTTTCTGTTAAGATTTTGAGGTTTCCTGCAGCTATTGTTCTGTGCAGTCAAAGTGATTCTGTCTTATGGTGTCCCTAATGAGGCTATCAATGTATGTAAAATGTTCAGAGAGGTGTACCATTGCGCTTCCCCTCCATGTGTTCCCATGGCCAAGCAGAGGTTTGAGTCCTCATCTGACACATTTACTTATTGCACCACACTGGCTCTCCTGCAGTACTCCTTTTTCCTTTGTCTATCAGCTGTTATTGTTTACTTGCTCTAGTTTATATTTACACAAACATTTGTTTGACTATGGTCAGTTGTAAAGTTCTAGCACCAGTAGAGTAGTAAGAATGATTACAATTTTACCAACAAAACAGAAACTACAGAGCCACATGGTCCAATTTTTACACTTAGTGCAAATTGTTAATGTTCTCTTAGTTGCATTAATTCGTTTAGAATCCATTTGAGCTATTTTTCCTTAAATGATATATTGTGGTGTAGCCTTCTAGTAATACCTCTGCATTGCTTCCATTGATTCAAACAAGTCTTACACAGAAGAGCTCCCTACTGCTGATACTTGTAGTCTACGATATCACTGAGGAAGTTCATTGTTTGGAGATCTTATCTTCTGTGTATGGAAAAACCTGCTCACATTTTATGTACACTGTGCTAACTTCAATTACTTTTAATGTGGCCCTGCAGGAAATTTTGCAGCATACTGCCAGATCAGTATTTCTAAATCTAAGTCTAGCACATTGTGTTTGTCAAATGAATTTCCTTTAGTTTTGTGGATCCTAATAACTTCCCTTTTCCCTTTGTTTTTTCCTTTTTCTACACAAATATGCCTTAAAATTATTATGTTTTATTGACTTCTCCCAGATAATCTTCCATTTGAAAAGAAAGTTGGCTATGTTTCTCTCTAAAATGGTGGACATGAAGTAAGGTGAGACTAGAAAAGCCTAAATATAGAGAAGAATACCTACTATAAAAGTGCCTAAATCTGCCCATGAGCAATAAATACATATAGCACACGTGACTTACAGAGAGATCTTCAAGCTGTATGCCTGCAGTTATTATGAAACGAGTTTCACTGAATTCAGTGAGAATTATGCTTAGTAACGTGCTGCAAATATTTTCAAAATACACCCTGATGACAAACATGGTTGCCATGTGAAATGGGGAGCCAATCCAGGCTAGTGGAAGAGACATCCATTGACCTCCTTTTAGAGGACAGAATTTTTAGATAAAATGGTGAGGAAAATCTACCTGCTCTCTGTTTGGTTGATTTTCTGACAGCTGGAATTGACTACAACATTTCACTTCACCTACATGATGCAGGTTTTGGTTCATGAACTAAGCTTAACATGTGAAGAACTCTGCAAACTATTGGCACAGTCAACATGAGTCAGAAAAGGAAGTTGAGATTACACATTTTGAATTGTCAAATCATGGTGTGATCATCTTAGATTCTGTTTTTTTTGTAGGTGGAATCTGCAGGGCCATTGCACAGTGAGCAGCTGGATTCTCTGCTCCTACCTTCATTTTCCCCACCGGATGGAAGAGTAGAGTATCACCATGTGCAGCAGCAGCAACCTGCCATCAGGAGAGCCATCAGCTTGCCTGAATCCTCAAACGTGCAACAAAGTCTGCAGTAGAATCTGCTATCACAAACAGTTCACATTTGGCTTTATTTAATGGTGGTTTCGAGGGAGGAAATGTTGATGTTTACACGTTTTTATTTCAAAGCTTTGTGGCTAAAGAGACAAGTAAGGGCAGATGGATAGTGCAATAGGAAAGGAAGTGGAGATAATTTTGCAGATGTTTGCACTATTTTGTGACTGTACTATGAAGACTAATGCTAATACATACCATCATGTGGAAATTGGCACACTAGGTGGTATGTGTTAGTGGAAGATTCTTCTGAATATTTTGACCAGAAAATATTCTGGGTGTTCCAAAAAAAAAAAAAAAAGTAATACAAGTTACTTGGCTTTCACTATTTTGATCATTCAAGATGAAAAGCACTGGTTCAGAGAGATCTATTAAGATGATGAGAGATTATTTTTATTATGGTTCATATTATTTTGCACAGCTGCACAAAAAGCTTAACCTAGCACTTTTGGTAAGGAAAAGTCTGTTCCGTTGGTCAGGCATGCACTTCCAGTGGGAAAGAACAGAGCATCATTTATTTAAAAACTTAAGATAAAAATACCCTGTAACTTATAACCCTCAGACTCATAACCTAACAGTATTCAAATGTGTTATTTGCCCACCCCACTCTTGTTACTTCCAGTGTTTCAGATAAATGACACTTGAGAGTTTCCTATTTATGTAGTGAACTACACCTGTAAACAATGGGCCTAAGCACAATCATTTGCAGCTTTTTTTCCTATCATACTAGTCTTCAAACACTTTACAGAGAATCTCTTTTACTAACTGAGCAACCCCTTCATTACTGTTCACTGAACAAAGCATCTGAAGAATATGCACTGTGTTACAGCCCATTATGTGGAAAAATGCTGCAACTCTATTACATATCTCTTTCATTATTACATTTAGAACTGAATTTTCCTTCAAAGCGTTGCACTTTTGTATGCTTTATGTTGATGTTTCTAAGAGAGATTTTATGTCATTATAAAACAAGTAGTGTAAAAAAAGCTGTTGTAAAAAACAACCCTGAGTTATTTCTATATAAAATAAAATTATATGGGATTATGTGGAAATTATTTTGTATATGAAAGACCAGCTTATTTCACAAGTCTAAATTTTTCATCATGCTTTTCTGTGAGTGAACATTTTTAAATAAATGACTGATGAGAAATATGGCTTCAGACCCACAGCTTGATCATATAGGTGCTTGCAGATTGTTGATACATCATATGAGTCAGTGCCTGATGTGAAACTGGTGGGTCCAGACCACCCTGTAGCTTATGGTAGCCTACTGTTTTTGATGTGTCTTTTTGCCCACTGCACATCCTGCTGCTCTGTTTGTCATGTTCCTACTTTGTTTTGCCATCTGTTAACATGTGGGCATTTAAGGTTGTTAGCCTTGTGGCAACTTAACAATTAACCAGCTTTATTGGGATTCTTTAGTGGGCTGCAGTCCACAAAAACTTGTGCCAGATAAAATATGTTCATTTTTAAGGTGCCACAAGACTTCTTGCTGCTTTCACTGCAAGAGACATCAGACAAACATAGCTACCTCTCTGAAAATATAGGAACAAAAAGCATAGGAAAACAGAGCTATCAATTCTGGGAAAAGAATGTCTGCATTTACAGAATAACTTAAAGTAACATCTTTCTTTTAAAAGCTACTATATAAATAAAGCAACAAGCCATGATAAAGTATATTGTATATTATCCTAAACACATGGATGTCTAAGGAAACTACATCCACTTAGAGAAAGTATGATGTTGACAAGCTTCCCTATTAAAGAGCCATACAGCTCACCTGAGACAATGTACCACTCAAACGTTTTCTCCAGCAAATACATTCCAGGATCAGAAATCTTAGAAATCTTCTTAGGACCAAGCCATGATAAAGTATATTGTATATTATCCTAAACACATGGATGTCTAAGGAAACTACATCCACTTAAAGTATGATGTTGACAAGCTTCCCTCTTAAACAGCCATACAGCTCTCCTGAGACAATGTACCACTCAAACGTTTTCTCCAGCAAATACATTCCAGGATCAGAAATCTTAGAAATCTTCTTAGGACTGCAGAGCAGGAAGGAATGCTATAAATCAATGAGTCCAGATGTTCAATAGAAAGCTAGTCCTATCCAAGCAGAGGCAGAAAAATGACGTTTCACCTTATTATTGCCACCCTAATTTACTCATTTAGATATACAGTTTTTTAAAGTATGATTCCCAGCAAACACATTCCAGGATCAGAAATCTTAGAAATCTTCTTAGGACTGCAGAGCAGGAAGGAATGCTATAAATCAATGAGTCCAGATGTTCAATAGAAAGCTAGTCCTATCCAAGCAGGGGCAGAAAAATGACAACGTTTCACCTTATTATTGCCACGCTAATTTACTCATTTAGATATACAGTTTTTTAAAGTATGATTGAAAGGCAGAACCACAGCATCTGTGAATATTACGGTAGCTGTAATAGAAACTAGCAGTAACTTCCAAACTCTTTTCAAAGGTAGCCCCAGGTAGAGCACATTACAATAGTCTAATCAGGAGGTAAATGAGGTGTGGGTCATGTGACCAGCAGAAGTTGGATAAACACTCCTGGCCACAGCAGCTTCAGATGGAGTACTCCATTTAATATAGGCTTTAATGCAGATAGGACACTGCATTTTATTCTGTTCACCGAGGGAACTTCTGTTTTTCTTTCGTTTAAGCTACAATTTGTTCACCACATTTAGTGTTGTAGTGGTAAATCTGAAAGTATAGTCCCTGTAGTCAGACCTTTTTCTAAGTATATCCAAAAATACAAGCTACTGGATTAATCTATATCAACAAATGAGTAGGGTTTTTTATATGGTTAATGGCTCTTACATTAACAGTAGACTGACTTAAAAAGATCGGGTGTGGGGGGGAATCCTGGAAACCCTAAAAGAAATGGATGTGCTACATTTCAAAGGCTTCATGTTACCTGTCCTCTGGATAGTACAATGAGTTTACAATGAAGGCAGAATATGAAGAAACAGAATAGTTTCTCATAAGCAAAGATGTCAGACAAGGATGTATTTTATCCATTCAGTTTATACTCAGAACATATCATAAAGAAAACAGGATTGGATTTGTTGCAGAGTTTTGAATTTTTGGTTAATTCCCTCTAGCTGCACAGCAGAAGTGCAGTGATTTATGCAACCGAGTACCTTCTAGTCCCCAGAGTAATCCACCCCTTTTCTCATTAACTGGCAAGATCATAACTTACTCTGAGACAGTAGTAGGAGAAAGAATAAAAAGCTTCATTAATTACAACTGAACAGATCAAGTAACAAACTGCTACTTTTAGCAACAGGTTTCAACAGACTCTAGAGAGGGAAAAAGTTCAAAAGCAGAAAGGCAGGGCTCTCTTTGAAATCAGGGGCAAGACAGGATCATTGGTTACTGCTGGACAGATTGACAGTCACCCCAGACCAGAAAGGTCCCTCCCAGCCACACCTCTAGGCAGCATGCCAGGTTGTAAAAAACTCCAAACAAGATTCAAATGAAAGGAGCAAAACTTTGTGGGGAGAAATATGTGCCATTTAAGATTGCTACACAATACAGTAGAAGTACAGAGATCTGCAGAGGAGAATAGCTACAAGTTTCTATTAACTAGCACTTAAAAGTCTCAATAACTCCCTCAAGAGACAGAAAGAATAAGCATTTTACTTTTTTACTTCAGTTGCTTGAAATTAGACTGATGTATGCTGCTTTCTTTGCCACATTTATACTTAGTAACCAACTGAACAGATCAACAGCAAGCAACCAGCTGCCCCAAAACAGGGAAAGAGCTCTCTTTGAATTCAAAGGTTGGAAGGAACAATTGGTTTGTGCTGGATAATCAGCCCACCCCAAAAAAATCCCTCCCAGTCAAACTACCTACCAGGCAGCCAGGCAGATGGCAAATAAAACTCTCAACACACAACGCAGTAGAAATGGTGCAATTCCATCTCTTCCACTTCACTCCCCGTTTACAATAATCAACCCATAAGTCTTGCATATTGTTAATACCCTCCAGCTTTGGTTGACACCACGTTCAAAAGCCGCAGATCCCGCGCGACTCGACGTGGGAAGGACTCAAGCTCCCATCTCCTTCTATGACAGGGACAAACGGGTGGGCGTCAAGACGGCTTCTCCCTGAACGTGAACGCTAACGGCGTTACCAACGGCTCCCGCTGCTACAAGTGGGGGGAAATCCGCAACTCCCACGTCCTTCCCACTTTCTCCCTCGCAGAGCTATCCCACCCGCGCTCTTTCCCGCCACCCGATGAGGAAACCACGCGAGACCAACCCGCTCCCCCCTCCTCAACCGGAAGCGGCCGGTTTCTTTCGTGCTTTCCCCCTCTCTATGGCACTTCCGGGTTCCTTCATTTCCTCCCGTCATCCCTCGCGTCTTCCTTTTCTGTCTGGTCCTGAGCAAGGTGAGGATTCGCGACTCGGGTTGTTTTGTTATCCGGGCCCATCCGCTCCTGGGGGGTCTCGCTGGGGCGAGGGAACGCGCAAGGGGGATGAGGTGGGGCGGGGATACGTGGAAGGGCCCGGGGATTTCGGCGGCTAGGCGAGAAAAGGGCGAGGGGCCCCCCGGCATTGATTGCCCCCCTCTGTCTCCTAACAACTTCGACCCAGGCCGAAGCCTGAGGCTGCCTAAGGGCGGTGTGGGAGGTCGTGGGAAAGCCTGGGGAGCAGCTATGTGGCCTAACGGCCAGAGCCTTGGGGGGGGGGGAAGGAGAACCAAGGGGGGGGGGAACAGTTTCGGAGGGTGGTAGTTGTGCAAAGGAAATGGGCGCATGTGTTCAAAACTTGGCGCCTGGGCATTAAATCACTAGGGCAGCTCCTTTGCTTGTCCGCGAGAAAGGAGAAGAACTTGGAAGATTTTTGCCATGGCCTTTAGCTTCTTAGGCCTAAGCGGTGCACGAGAGTATGTGAAGGCTCAGTCCCTGAGAGAATTCGTACGATGTAAGCAAACGGTGTTCATTTGCAAGTTAATGTTCTTAGCAGTGCATCCCGCAACGCAATGTTGCGGCATGTCCGCCCTCAGCAGGGATTTGTTTGTTAGGTTTAAGTCAACAAGTCTCCAGGATATTGTAACTTAATTGAGAAAACCAGACAGGACTTTGGGTTTAAGGGTGCCACTGGTGGGTAGCATAAGGATTGCAGCTGTCCTTGCAGGGGACATGGATGGACCTGGCTCCTCCCGTTCTCAGTAATTTTCGTTACTGTAATTTGGTAATATGCAAACATGAGGAAGCCTGTTGCTTTCTGCTTGTTGTCTTGGCTCCGGTTCTGTGGGTACTTGATTTAAGTTTTTCATTAGAAGGACTGATATATAGCATGAAAGGGGGCAGAAGGTGATATGGGAAATAATTAAGAACCGATGCCTTCTTCTGCATCAGGGTTGCAGGCCTTCTGTATAATTTCAGACATGCACTGTGGTCTTTTCTCTTTATGCATATACAGTTAAAAAACAACCACACAGAATTATTGAGAGGAATTGTTTATCAGTGGGTGGAGTATTTGTGATATACAGTGGACCCTCGACTTACAGACTTTTCGAGTTACAGACTTCTCTGGCTGCAAAATTTAGATTCGACTTGCAGCCAGAGAATCGACTTACAGACCAGAAAAAAGCCAAAATGGAATAAAAATAGAATAAAAACCACTGGTTATGGGATTAATCGGTTTTCAGTGCATTGTAGGTCAATGGAGATTCGACTTACAGACTTTTCGACTTGCAGCCACCATTCCAATACGGATTAATTCCTTAAGTAGAGGGTCCACTGTATACTGATTTTAGCAGCTCTGGCCTCTCAGCTGCTTCTGGATTGGCAGCATGTGGAAATGAAGGGATAGTAAGCATCTGGAGGTTTTAAAGTACCTGCTTGGTGGTGGTAGTGAGAAGTAGCAGGCTAGTTAGTTCAGTGTCTCAACTTACTAGCCACTGTTTTTTAGCCCATCCTACTGTTAAGCATGATCCTATTGACCTATCTAATAGAAGAGTCCTCAGTATTGAATGAGTATTCTCAGAAGGACTGGGCAAAATCCAGTGTCATGTAGTGTGAGTTGATCTCTGCTCTATTATGAATTTTTTTCCCCCATTGAGATGCATTGAATGGGTTTCAGTGCATTTCAATTGGGGAACTGCGTTTCGCTTAGCGATGTTTCCTATGGCGATTTTCGCTTAAGGACGGCAATCCGTTCCTCTTGGAACGGATTATCCGGTTTTCAATGCATTTCAATGGGAAACCGCATTTCGCTTAGCGATGTTTTCCCGTAGCGATGATTTTTTTGGAACCAATTAAAATCGTTAAGCAAGGCACCACTGTACTTTGCCATTTCAAAATATCTGGCTTTTATTTCCTCCAAGGAGATATATGTGATCATTTTTGTAAACTGAGCATGTGTATGGTTTGAGAGTGGTTATGGCCAGACCTTTGGGACTGGTTCTTTATGTTCATGTGGTGTGCCATGCAAAGATTGTTAAAAACTCTTCCCTAAATGTTACATGTATAGATGGCTCCTGCAAAGAAAGGTGGTGAAAAGAAAAAAGGACGATCAGCGATCAATGAGGTGGTTACTCGTGAATATACTATAAACATTCACAAGCGGATGCATGGCGTGTGAGTGACATTTCTTCTACTTTTTCATTTCCTGCTTATCTTGGGAGGAGGGGGGAATAATTTCCTCCCACATTTGAAATTAGAGATCATTCTGTAATCAAATATTTATTTTACTGTATTTTCAATTCTTTGAGGAGGAAGTTGTATTCAAGATTTCACATTCTTTTATAAGCAAATAGCATAAAATGGTAATTGGTGATCAATAATCTGTATAGTTCTAATTATTCAGGCTGATTCCAGAGTTAATGGGAAGCAGGATATGTTATGGGACACATCAGAATAAAGACTGGTTCTTTAATACAGTTACAGGCAAAATGGTGCCTTTCAGATGTTTGGGACGGCAGTTCCTATTAGTCCTGATCCTATGTATTAGAGGCAAAGAAAGGTAGTGTCACAAATCAAGTAAATAAGGTGATGCATAGTATTCAGATATTTTGAATCTGGCATTCAGATAGAATTCTTACCTTGGGGACATGTGAGAGGTCACTCTTAAATTCACATCCGTTTTGATCATGATTTGGATTTTTGGGAGAAATGTGGTTTAATGGAGAAGTTAATGGCAGTGTATTTACATCTGCCTTGATTTTCTCAGCTCTGCTTGTTCTTAGGTTCCTCTCCCCAACAGTAGCTTTCAGATCTAGGTATTTGTAAGGCAGAGAAATGGATCATCAAACCAGTTAGGGCTTCAGCATTCAACTGAGGACCAGTGATGAAGCCAGGTTGGGTGACTGCTGAGCAAAGTGCCAGCCAGCCCCATGGTCCATCCTACCATACCATACTCCCCTTCCCCAGTGCTGAACACTCCTCTGCCTCATGCACTCTCAGTTTTCCTCTTACACAGAGCTCTACCTTGTTTCACTTTCTCTGCAACTGCTTCAAGTCTTTTACAGCTTGTTACCTGAAACTGACATTTGGAGGGGGAGAGGAGTGGAAGAAAGGAGTAATCCCTCTGTATGCTGTGCCTCCCATTGTCACTGGGAATGGTCAGTCCTAGTCAATACTGAGAAGTTTTTGCAGTGTGGCAGATCCATTGCTCTGTTCAGCCCCCTCACCACCATTTTCACTTAAATTCCACTGTCCCCCTGCCTCCCCAAATGTAGCTATCTTTGGGAAGGCACAGCTTCTGTCCAGATGCAGGAGTCGTTAAGTGGCTGAGCAGAGGCCTAGCTTATTCCCTTATTCTTCTTGATTCTGCACACCCAAAGGTTACAACTGATTGACCAAAGCATCTCAATCATTATAGGGAAATGGTCACCTACCATGTCCTAGTAGCCACTGCTTTTACAGTTAACTGTCTGTGCTATTTAACTTCCCAGAATGTACAAATGCAAGGGTCCTTGTGTTTTGTATGGAGTTCCTTTTCACCTAATAAAGGTTTCTGTATTCCTAGGGGCTTCAAGAAGCGGGCTCCCCGTGCTCTGAAGGAGATACGCAAGTTTGCAATGAAAGAGATGGGGACGCCTGATGTACGAATTGACACCCGTTTGAACAAAGCAGTCTGGGCGAAGGGAATAAGGTACATTTCAGAAGGTTTGGAACCAGTATGCCTGGTCCCTCAGCCCTGGAAAGCAAACTCTGTCTAGCAATCCAGTTCGAAAATTTGCTGCACTAGCATATGTGTGATAAGGGCATGGTCACTGACACTGAGCTAGTGCAGTATCTCAAAGTGGCATTTACTGATGAGCTTTTGTTTTCTTCTTGCCAATCATTCCTTACTAGCCCCTGGCAAATAGATTTGGGGGGGGGGGCTGCTTTTGATGTCTCCAGATTTTCTTGCTTCTATGAGCATGTGCAGCCAACCAGTAATTAATACTGAAACAGATACTGTATTACTGAAGGTCACTACTGTAAGTGTTCTTGAGCAGAACTTTCCCTTCATTTCTTAGAGGGTTGTTGAACATCAGACCTCTTTGTTCTTCTCAGAATGAATTGTGGGACCAAAAAGGGGCTGGGGACTAGCAGGACATCTGTAGGTACAACATGTCATGTTGCCCAATCCTGATTTAGGGTATTTGGTAAAATTAAATTTGTGCTGATTATACATCTAGGTTACTTTTTTTTTTTTTTGAAAGAAATTTTAAGCTGGTTGGTTTTTGTAGCTGAAAAGTTTTATGCAAACAGAAATTAGAGTGATTTGGCAGAGTGAATGGTTTTTGTATTTGGACCTGAAGAGCAAACCCATTACGGACATTTTAAAATAAATGCTACAAGTAAAAAAGGTGGGTTTTCAACAGGATTCCAATGTAGCAATTCAGGAACATTCACTCATATTCATAGGTAGCTTGCCCCCTACTTTGTTATGTTAAACAGCAGCCTTTGAAATGTCCAAAAGGACATTCTATGTGCCTTCTAATCATATTTCTAAATATGTTGCAGAAATGTTCCCTATCGTATCCGTGTGCGTTTATCTAGAAAACGCAATGAAGATGAAGATTCACCCAATAAACTGTACACGCTGGTTACTTATGTGCCAGTTACTACTTTCAAAAGTAAGTGTTTGTTTTCTGTTTGTAGAAAAATGGGAGAGGGATTGCCTTGAGCCAGTAACATAGGTATTCGTATCATTAGTAAATGTTATTTCTTAATTCTTCATATTTTATCTATCCATCTGCAGTCTGAAACTAAAGTATGATAGAGAAATATATTTAAATATTTTGGTACTTACAGATTCCTTTTTTTATGTTTTCAGGTCTACAGACAGTCAATGTGGATGAAAACTAAATTTTCATTACAATAAAAATTATAATGAAACTTAGTATTTTTGTGATAGGTTATACTTTTGCAGTTTATTGCTGTAGTTCACAAGCTTTCCATATAGTCTGTTGGGAACAAAAAAAAATTTAAGGACTGTCTTCAACATGCCTTGGATGGAACCAGATATTCTGAAAACAGTTAAAACTAGCTTTGTAGCCCCAGAACACAGGAGTAAGGGAAACAGGACTGATAAGCTCTTTCAGAAAATTTAGCTGTGGATCACCTCTTAGAAACCTCTGCAACTGGGCCTTTGATTTCTTGTGTAGTGCAAACCACCCTATACTAGTGCCAGAGCAGGCACAAATACCCTTCTCTCTTTTTTTGTGGGATGGGAGCCATTAAAACCAGGTTTGGGAGGACATCATGTTTTAAAGGAAATCTGGAACCATAATTCTCATGGTATAGGAATGCTTTGCTCTCAGAGCGGCTACAAAACTGGTCTCATGGCATGAGGAGCCCCACTCCCAGATTAAAGGAAGAAAACATATTTCAAAGAGGGACAAGATGAGTGAATACATTGTTCCTTCATTTTTTAAAGATCAAGCAACCACAGAGGCTCTAAATCTGACATTCAGGATAAAAATGTCCTGGCCAAGAACAGCAATGGCAAGAGTAAAGAGTTTGTCAATGAAGTCCATTTGAAGATGCTTCGTGTAAAGGAAGAGTTGCCAAAAATTGTTTTAATTGAAAAGTGCACACACCCACAGATGAAAAGCAGCATCAATGTACACTGAATATTAAAGCAAGATCTGTAAATCTGGAGTCAAATATATTAAGTTTCAATTACCAGCATTGAAACAAGTTTTCAGTAATAGTGCAAAAAAGGGAACCATTCATAAAACCTGTGGTAGCCAAAGTTATCAATAATGGTTGAACTGCTTTGGCTTTTGTTTTTATGGAGTAATTTAACATATATGCAGCATCTTCAAAATGAAGATGGAAGTTGCATTCAAGAAGAAAACAACTGGAGCCAAAACGTCCATTAAATGTGTTTTGGCTTTAAAGCTCTCCAACTATTTATTAGGTCATCAAAATAGTCCAAAAGCCTTAACATTGCAAGACGTGCTTTGGTGAAACATAGGATTCGTCTTACCCACTTGCTAATGTACACTTTGATGCTCTGTCTCGCCTCGTGGTAGCTGACTCACACCATTTGTTTTTAAACTATACCGAGTCTGCTTGGCATTCTCCAGTTTTGGTTTCAGTGCTAAGGAATTTTCAAAGAAGTTCACTAGTGACTGTTCAGTTAATAGTGAAGCCAAGATGTGTTCAAAAGAAACATTCCAGTCCCCTTCAGTTACTGGTAAGGGTGTATTCTTTGGGGTCTTCACTGTGTCAGTAAAAACCACATCTTGGTCTGAGGTAGATGCCTCGCTCTGCAGGTCCTCGGTAAACTCATCAGAGCCAGAGCTGCTGCTTCTTTGACCAACTTCTCCAATCTGAAGTAACAAAGTAGTCACCGTAGCAATGGCTTGATACAAATCATTCTCCTTTGGGTCTTCATGAAACAGACTGTACAAGGTTTTGCAGAACTGTATGAATTCTCTCTGGAAATCAAGACAGTGTTTATGTATGCAGACTATGACAAGGGAAGGGCTGAATGTTGGACACGTAGCTATTCTTTTAAAAGTTTCAAAATGTTCACAAACACCTAACATAAATCCACTGGAATATTGATATAAAGTCATATGCTAAATACGTGTTTTTATAATTCTATGCTTATGTAGATGAACATCTTTTTTTAAAAAGTACAAAAGTAGCCAAGATTGCCCAGAATTACGTGGAACAAACTACAACACCTGTACTAAACTGATGTTCCAGGATCTACTTGGGCTCAAGCCAAGCTTCTTGTCTGTAAACTAGCAGCACAACAGCTTCAGTTTACACTGAATCTGCAGACTCCATTTTGCATTGATAGCCTTCCATCTTTTTAGAACAACAGGAATCGTGGCTCTTTGCCTATGCAAATCATATATGATCTATGTATGTCCAATACTGTAGAAGAACATTGTGCTGTTGTTTCGTTCCACCAGAGAAACACAAGATTTTTAATAACAACCAAATATCTGATGGGTTTATTTTATCTATCTTATCTATTTAAAAAGCAGCCACATGTTGAGAGGAAATGGCCTGCCTCCTGATTTCCTGACATTGTCTATCACCCAACATCTGTAGATAAGCATGAGCATCTGAAAATGCAGGCTCCCTCATGATCACAAAGGTGGATTTTCCCCATTCGTGGTCTTCCGGCAGACATTCATATTTCTGATTATAGAGAAGACAAATTTAAACAACAGAATGAAAGGCAGTAGGCAAGCCTGGTTGCTCAAACTCACAGAAGTGTATCTGCCATTTCTTACCTGGCTCATTTTTGGTAGTTCTTTTTCAGCCCTGTTATCTTTTTCTTTGGCTAAATCCCGAAGCATTTGCTTCAGTTGCTTCTGATAATCTATGGCATCACCTGGATAATGGAACACAGGGAAATTACAATCCATTGCGACAAATGTGGAAGCAAAATCTGAATCAGCATCAACCCTGTTGGCTGAACAATCACCGTTTCCTATTGCTGTTCTCCAGTAGCTGTCTTAGAATCTGAACAGAGTATTTATTTAGCAGCCACACATAATAAGAATCTCTTTAATCCCCTTTTATATTGGTGGCCTTCATTACATCTCAAAGCAGAAAATTCTCTTAAGTTTGTTGTTTAGTCGTAAAGTCGTGTCTGACTCTTCGTGACCCCGTGGACCAGAGCACGCCAGGCCCTCCTGTCTTGACTGTTTAAGTTAGCTTAGACAAAAAGCAAGATGCTGTTAATTAATGTTAATTTAATCACTTACCATTTGCTTTTGCAATTACTAGTGGCCTTGATGTTGACAACAAAGGATTTTTCAGTGGTGACTGACTATCTTTATCATTTTCTGTGAGGGCTGTTAGAAAAAACAAAGCAAAACGATGTATTATCACAATGCAGTACTACATTAACCATAGTGGGCTGGCTCTAAATTTAAGCTATGCTAAATGGACTAATTTAAAAAATACTATTTAATTGGGTTTAAAACATCTGGCAGTAACCCAAGAAATACACAAAACAGGCTAAAACTGACATTTTAAAAGGGTTTATCTGATTGTCCCCCTTCCCAATCCTTCCCCCCACAGGGTTTATAGGACTGTATTGGGGAAGAAAGGCCAAAGTGCATGGCTGGCTCCTGATGTGTCACTCTTTGGACTACAGGGCTACATACAAGAAATACTGAGCGCAACACTTTTCAAAGCATATCAAGAGAAGGACTGCAGCCTGTCCAAACCAAACCATACTCTTCTACATAACGCTTGCCAGCTGACTATATGACTTTCCAAATACAACAGACAGAACAAATGGGACATATACACATTCCACCAAAGTCATTTACTATTAATTCAAGCAATACAAAAGGAAAGTGATCTGGGAAGATTCTTACCAGGTGGAATGTGCAACTTGTACAAGAGTTTTATTTTCTCATTCATTTCTCCATTGTACATAATATCTGCAGCAGGAAGAGAGGATACATAGGCTTGACCTGTTCTCTTGAAACACAACAGCATTCTCTCTTTGGAAAAACTAGTGGGGGGAAAATCTGCATAGAGGTTGGAGTGGTAAGAATGTTCAGAATCTACTACGAAATTCTTTGAAGTTTACAGTGTTTGAAACAGTAAAGTACTTCAGTAGAGAGGGGAAGGAGGTTTGCCTAAAAAGCTGTATTAGGGTATGGCTATACAGTGGGGAAAATATGGTTTTATCTGCTATTTATTCACAGTATGAAAGTGGGCTTCCCTGTATGAATCCCTGTAGCCATCCAGATGACAACTAGCAGGAATGAGCAGGGGCAGAGAAGAGGAGCTCTATTTGCATGGCACTCCTTAAGGCAATTTAATTTAGTTGCCTAAATGGCAATTTCACCCTTTTATTGTTGTTTGTTTTGTTTTCTTAAGTGCCCTAGTGAAACACTGTTGAAATCATTTTTTTAAAGACACTGTGTGGAAACTAGGTGTACTTGGTTGAAGGGAAATTACACCCCCACAAGTACTTCTTTGTATTACATCAGGCAATTACACTGGGAAGAAAGCAGTCAAAATGTCATAGAGTCATGAAGTTGGAAGGGGCCTGTAAGGCCATGGAGTCCAACTGCCTGCTCAGTGCAAGAATACAGATCAAAGGAGATCTGCTAGGTGGTTGTCTAAAGTTCTCTTGTATGCCTCCAGTGTTGGAGCACTCGCCACCTCTCGGGGCAATTGATTCCATTGCTGTACTGCTCTAACAGTTAGGAGGTTTTTCATAATATTCAACCAAAATCTGGCTTCCTGTAACTTGAGCCCACTGTTGCATTTTCTGTATCCTGGAATGATTGAGAAGCGATCCTGCTCCTCTTCAGTACGATGGCCTTTCAAGTATTTGAAAAGTGTTATCATATCCCCCCTCACATCTTCTTTCCTCAAGGCTAAACATGCCAAGTGCTTTCAGTCTTTTCTCACAGAATTTTGTTTCCAGCCCCCTGATCATCCTTGTTGTCCTCTGAACTTGTTCCAATATGTCAGCATCCTTCTTGAAGGGTGGTTCTAGAACTGGACATAGTACTCAAGATGAGCCTAACCAGTGCCAAATAGAGGTTAACTAGTACCTTGTAAGATTTGGAGACCACACTACTGTTAATACAGCCTAAAATGGCATTTGCTTTTTTTGTGGCCACATCACACTTGTTGGCTCATATTCATTCAGCTTGTAATCTATGAAAATTCCAAGATCCTTCTTGCTTGTACGTATTGCTGAGCCAGGCATCCCCCATCTTGTAACTGTGTGTTTGGTTTTTCAGTCTTAGGCGCAGTACTTTTGTTTCTAAACTATACTGAGTACAAATTTAAACCTTCCATGTTGGCTAGGGAAAAAATTCATTTGCAACTCAAAAAAGACGATTAGAGATGGGGTATTCAAATATGAATACAAATACCCCTCACAGCTGGATGTAAAACCCAATTGAAAACATGGTTGTTCATTCAGGCCTTCCCTCCAGCCAACTCTTGATTTTTTAATTTTTTTCTTACTTTTCCCTATCTTTTATTTCATTGCAGCTATTACTGAATTATCATGTACTTTCCTGTGTTTTATTGTCTGATTTTGTATCGGAAGCCGCCTAGAATGGCCTGGTAGTCCAGATAGGCGGGGTATAAATCAAATAAATAAATAAACAAATAAATACCCCCTCACACATCCGCTGCTGCCGGTGGCTCCACTCTCCCTGGCAGGGAGACTCGTCTTCCCTCCTCCTGCCAGGAGTGGATAGTCGACCAGAAGCTCCGGAGCGACTGGAAGGGACGGTAGAGCCGCTGGCGGCAGCGGGCAGGTGAGTGGACATTGTGTCCCATCTTTAAAGACGATTCCACAATAGACTTCCCACACTGAGCTTTACATCACATGGTTTTGCTTTAAAGTCATTTGTGACTAACCTAACAAAAACTGCAGGTTAAATAGCCAATGTAGTAGCCCTCGAAGTTGGAAGTATGTGGCACCTGTTTTTATACTTACCTTGAATTTTTTTAAAACAGCTAATCTTTAGAGGCTTACCAAACAGAAAAGTACTAGTATAGAAATGCTTCATGTTCCAAAATAAAACAAAAGTCTGCAGAATTCAAAGATAAATTGTAGCCACCTGTAGAGAAAGATGCTTCCTATCTTTTGGACTGAATGACATTTCAATAACTATGAGACTGAAAGGCACACGTAGGTGGCATAAAAATTCTGGTGATATCCTTTGTGCAGTTATGCAAAAGGTGTAACATTTGGAAGCAAACTGCCATATGTTAAGAGATCTCTGTAGACCTTATTTGTTGCACTCCAAGACTTGGCTGGGGGAGGAGTGAGTGGTCTGAAAAAGCAAACTTAAATCCTCCACCGTTTCTTCATGCAAAATAGTATACTATCCCAGGGTAGTCACCCAATGGAAGAACAAATTTACTGGTAAAGTACACATACAATGTGACATTTTGCCTGTACACCCTTTCTGAGAAGCCCTCACCAATGGCACTTGCTTTTTTTAAAATTATTTTTTTGCGATGCAGTTACCTAGGCAGCCAGCAAAGGCTTTGAATTCAATGAGGTGATCCATATTTTCATCTAGAAGCCGGAATGTCCTTTCTGCCAGAATCTCAGTGTGATCACCACATGTCCAAGGTGAGACAAGTTTATAAAGGTTAGTGAATTGCTGGCAATCAATTCTATACTGTTCAGCATAAGGTCTACTTGGGTCATGCCGCTGAATTACAACTGCACTATTCCATTCCCAGTAGCAGCTTATTAAATGTTCTTTCTGAAAAGAATTAAAGAACAAAAAGCAGAGAAGTGTTTAAATCCAAGTATTGCTAGACACGAAGGAATTACTACACATTTGTTAGCATCTTCCTTCACTATATAAATAATTGTGCCAATATTGCATACTGCTACTGTTGTTTAGTACATAACTAGACCTGCAAAATAAGCCCACTTGTGTATTATTTCAAGCAGTGGAGCATAGGCATGATCACCTGGCATATGATGCTTGGAGAAACTAATGGGGAGGGGAAGAAAAGAAAAACACAAAATATTGTAGCATTTTAAAGATTAATGGGTTTATTTTAGCATGATCTTTTGCAGATCAAAATCCATGACTTCAGACCCAGGGAGTAAAAATACATATCCCTAGAAATCCAATAAATAAATAAATAAATAAAAATACATTTAGCTCCCCAAATAACTACTAAAACCAATAAAATTAAAAATCATACGTACTTGTACGAGATCTTAACTGGATTTATTTTCTAAACGCATGCTGATCTGTATGCCTATCTCTTTTTAGAAATCACAAAATGCTCTTCTAGAAAAACACATGTTTATAAATGTACATACCTTAAATAAGTCATACAATTCTTCTAAGTCTTCCGGAGCAATAGAAACATCTGGAATGACTACCCTGAGCTTAAGAGAAAATAGGAATTAATCTAGCAATTAGGCATTAGTGCTGGTAGCAGTACTTCTCATGGAAACACATGGCAGCCAAAAACTCTCTTATATACGTGTTCCTCAGCTTTTCTTGTGCTTTGTCTTAATTTTGTCTCTCAGACCCTCTCCTGTTTTATCAAGCTGCCTCATGTGCATTGAGAAATGGCGAAGGAAATCAACTTTCTCCTACCTTCCAAATAGCAAAATGATGACATTCCCATACTACATTTAAGTTCTGAGACTTCATAACTAGGGGTGTGCCATTTGTAATTTTTGAGAATCCAAGTCCCAAAATTCTCCAAGAACTCCCTAGGCAGAATTGTGGACGTTCCGGCCCACAGACCCACAACTTGCAGATACATATTTTTCCAACATGTGTAGCAGGGCCTGCTAGTCCACTGAGACTGCATTCTAAGCCTTCATTTCCTGCCACAATGTTTCCTGGGCATTGTAGTCTCACTGCCCTTTTAGGCTCTCTAGAGCAGAGGTCTCCAACCCCCACTACACGGCCCGAGCCGGACTGGGCCGCCAAGACAGACCTCCCGCCCAGCATGCACTCACCCCCACACAGCCCGTTTGTGCATGAGCACATGCGCCCCTACGAGAGCGTGCGCGCATGAGCAAACAGCAGTGCTGTGCCCGCGAGTGTGTGGCACATGTTCATGCATGTGCATGCGTGTGGGGAGTGCCCTGCTTTCCCCAGCTGGACTGCAGACCGAAAAAGGTTGGGGACCACTGCTCTAGAGGGTACCCCCCCAAGCACTACGATAGGAAGTATTGCAACAGCTTCCTTCTAGAAAGCATAAATGGCAAGAAATGAAGGCTTAGAATGCAGCCTCAGAAAACCAGGCTTCACTCCAGGTGAGAGAAACATAGGTGTCTGTAGGGGTGCATCTGTGGACTGGAACTCCCCCAGTTTTGCTTGGGGAATTCTTGAAGAATTTTGGGATTTGGAGTCAAAAAAATCCATAGGGTAGATCCCTAGTCATAATATGTTTATATTTTGAACATCCAGTAAGGCTTCTACTGTCTCCTGTGAAGATGACCACAAGCACTGCTGTGAAGCTGCACCAATTCACAGTCCAAGATTCTTTATTTTGCTCTGACTGCAGCTGAATCTCTTTCCCACCTTGAAAGATGGGACTAGAAACAGAGGCAGCATGTTTCAAGCGATGTAACACCTGCATCCCAGCAGATTTAAAGACAGGCTTTGTGCCTTCCACTCTGTTTAGTGGCTCTACGTATACTTAAAGTATACTTATACTTTAATCATTTTATATTTTATTGTATTGAATTTTAATTGTTGTAAGCCGCCCAGAGACCTTTGGGTAGAGTGGGCGGCATATTAAATAAAATAAATAAATAAATAAATAAATGGTGTCCCAATCTATTTATTTCATACATTCAGAAGAGAGAAGACTATGCAAATAGCATGTGACATTCTGAATGTTGACAACTCTCACCACATTTTGTTTAGTTGTTTCTTCATGGCTCTGCAAGACACGGATCCTGTGTTTATAGCGCAGGTGTTCAATCTGCTCCACAGAATGGTATCCAAATTTCTAGAACACAGGAATGATTTTTTTTAAACTATAGTATACACCTACTATGAAAGTGAGCATTCTCACTTAAGTGTACATGTTTAAATACAAAACACAGCCAGTGTGTTTGGGCCACAAAAGGTGCTGTATCAATCAAAACTGGGCCCTTTCCATTCTCATTTAAGACAAAACATCTCTTTAATTGCAGCAAAGGACAGTTCAAAGTTAGAGCAATTCAAAGTTAGAAACTCACTGGCTGATGCATAAAGGACAGTTCAAAGTTCAAAGTTAGAAACTCACTGGCTGATGCATTCATAGCTACCTCAAAAGAATCTCGAATTAGATCCGCTATTTCTGTTGTGGGACACGGTTCCATATCATCACTGAAAAAAGCATGCTGATTCCCAATCAGCGGCAAGGGGCTTTCCTCATTCTTAACATTATCCAAAAACCTGAAAGAAAGACATTTTTCAATTCACTGGATAAAATCCACAAGTTATTCAAGCATGCTTCTCCTTGCATAATGGATCCCCCCCCTTCTCTTCCTTCCTCTCCCCATTCCTCACACCCTTCTGGACTAAATGAGGAGACTTTAGGGAGGTTAATAACTACTCTCTGTTCACGTGCTTGTATTTCCGACCATCATGTAGGGGAGTGAAAGCTGGACATTAAAGAAAGCTGAAAGGAAAAAAATGATTTGTCTGAAATGTAATTCTGGAGAAGAGCTTTGTGGATACCCTGGACTGCCAGAAAGTCAAACAAGTGGTTCCTAGATCAAATCTCTGGACGCAAAAATTTTCAGACTGAGGCTATCCTATTTTGGGCACATTATAAGAAGGCAGGATTCTCTGGAAATGATGCTGAGAAAGACTAAAGCCAGCAGGAAAAGAGGAGGCCAAATAGGAGATGGATCGACTTTCTAAAGGAAGTCATAGGCTTGAGTCTGCAAGAGCTGAGGAGGGCTGTTGAAGACAGGACGTTTTGGAGATTGCCCCTTCATAGGGTTCCCACAGGTTGGAGATGACTTTACAGCACATAATTTATTATTTATTTAAAATATTTTTTACCCCATCTTACCTCCTTAAAAGGACCCAAGGTGGCTTATGTCATTAAAAGGACAATATTTAAATGCTAAAAACAGTAAGTATACAAATATTACCATGTTTCCCAGAAAATAAGACAGGGTCTTATATTAATTTTTGCTCCAAAAAAGGCACCAGGGCTTGTTTTAGGGCTTATTTTCAGGGAATGTTTTATTTTTTTCATGTACAACAATCTACATTTATTCAAATACAGT